CCCCCCCAACACTTTTGTTATTAAAAGAGATGGTGATGGTGATAGCTAGCTAAGCCATGGTGCCAAATAATGTTGCTGCATGGAAACCCGAAAGGGACACATTACCAATTTCCCCACACACGGTCTCACCTCCTCCTGCTAGTTACTAATTACTATACCATGGGGACAAAATAAACAAAACAAAAAAAGAAGTAAAAATTTCAAAATGAAATGCACAAATCTGTCATAAGGGCAAGCCAAGCCAGAAACCACACTGCACTGCAGTGTAAGAAAGTAAAGCGACCTCCAGCTGCTAAAGTAACATTCATTCAACTTATACTACTGTTTCTGTTTTATATTCTTCTTCTTGTGCTGGAATATTGTTTTTAGAATCTCAGACAAAATCCATGCATAAGTAAGTGCCATCAATTGTTCAAAATATCCAAATAACTAATGGCATAATAAATAAATCATATTCACCAACTTCAAACAAGACTATATAAATTACAAAAATATTAGGTGTTTCTGTACCATATACGAACAAGATTTTGACAGAATAATAAATGGGCCAACCTGACCGATTGTTGCAGTGCAAAAGTTTGACTGGATACGGCCCAAAACAGAAACTTAGATGGATAGTAATTCAAACCATCCCATCAATGTCCAGAGACTTCATTGAAATACAAGGAAAAACAAAAACCAAACACCACCAGATAGTAAAAACAGTTCCATCGATGTGCATCTTCCCCAAGCTTTCCCATTAAAATAACCCATTGAAAGGACTGGTTAAAAAAAGTACTAGGTTTGGCCTGGTCCCTAGCTCAACTTTTAGTTGCTTATCGGGATTAAGAAACATACACTGCATGATCATCACTAATCACATGACAAAAGCGCGCTCGAAAACATGCATGCATCCATGCATCCATGCATGGCTTTGCAGAGAAAGAGAAGGGTAATTTGCTAAGCATAGGAGCCTAGCCTATATATGTAGATCACTATTTATAAAGGTACAACTTTTGAACAATGAGCTTTGTTTTGGTGATTAATTGTACGTCTCTGAGACAAAGTCAAGTGCCCGCATGTGGGTTGGGTTCTATACGAACAGAAATTCCCTGTGCCACTTTTAATCTTGCTCTTCTGCTTTTTTCTTCACTAAAAAACTTGTACAAAACGGATTTTGACTAGCTATTAGGCCTATAATCTCAGCCTCTCATTCAGTACACTTACATAGAAACCCAACAAAGAATAAAAATGAATTAGAAATAATACCTCTCCTATTTCAAGCTATTGATTGACATTATATATGCATGCGAGCAAGGTACTTATATCATGCTAGCTGGCCTTATTTGGAGTAATTTTTCACGCGATGTAACTAATAACACATGAATTAATAACATTACGCTACAACATGTGAATTGATATATAATATCAGATGACGGGGTCATTTTGATTACGTTGATCGCAATTAATCATAACACAACAAATTAAATCGTATTAGAGAAATACCTCTCCCATCAAGATCCAGTATATATATAGTGGTGGGATGTACTCTTACTTACTATTGTTGATGAATGACATGTGCTGAGGAAGTGTAAAGACAAACTGTTGGTCACGCATAGCTTTGCCTTGCGAAATATGTGTATGTGAGACTCGAATGTAGGAAAGGCAAAGTAAAAATTTCCAAATCTTCGTCTTGTCTGAAAAAAGAAACTGGGAATAGCCAACAGTGCCAATCTCATCAGACTTTGTAGCCGCCCCCATTGATTTGTCACACCACCTCCCTCCTTCCCTTCCTCTAATTAACTACTGTTCATGTGACAGTCCCAGCTTCTTCACTCAGAAAGACTAATTTCTGGTCAACATTTCATTTTTTACTCCACCACCACAGCACAGGGATCTCTATGTTACTGTCTACGCAATATTTTCTAACCTTTTTTTGTAATTAAACAAATTAAATTCAATAAAATCTTTCGAAGAAGCAAGCAAGAGAAGATGTCATGTTACTTGGGGCTGAGAAAGAGAAAGATTCTTCTTGTACGCCCAAAAAGTAAAAAGGATCTTTTATAATTTGGGCAGCTTCTTTTTGGGCTCCATTTAAAAGTTTGCTGTAGGGTTGGAGCGTCCAATATTCATGAACACTAAATTTAAGAAAAACGTTTATTTTCTGATTTGATGTCCGGCGGGGGAGGAGTGTAAATTGCCATATCATTCACATTGATCACATGGTCATAAGATTATGCGTCACCTTCTCCAGCCTGACAGAATTAGGTTTTTTTTTTAACTTTCTTTTTCTCGGGTGTGATCGATGAACTTTTGAGAAGCACTTTGCTTGCTCAACATTACATTGATTTTATTTTGTTTAAAGACTGGACATGGAGTCTTCTTTTAATTCTAAGGAAGAATTTAAATTAAATACTAAAGCAATACATTGGTCATTTTAAATACCAAACTTTCTTCTTTGTTTTTTTTAAAAATATACAAATCATATTCTATTTTAATCTAATTTAAATTATGATGAAGGAGGATCTGAACTCGAGTGCAAAGTAGGTTTCACATTTACTTTAACCAACTTAGCTAAGCTAAACTCTGCCAAACTTTCTTTGATTTAAGTTCTATTACTAGTTGAAAAATGAAAAAAAAAATACAAAGAAAATCTAAAATGAACGGTGCGACCACGTTTGTAACCCAAACTAAATTAATGGGCTGAATCCAAATAAGCCCCAGCCCGTCTATTACCTGGGCCATGGATCAACCCGAGCCAGTGGCCAAAATGGGCCGAACATACTAAGCCCTTATTCACCATCTCTACAGTACGCCCACCTCCAGGGAATCTCTACACCGTCCAGAATCCGGGGATACATATCCTCGATTCTCTTGCATATAAAATGACAGGTGTCAAAATCACAACGGGTACTGGGAAGAACGCACCGATGAGAGGGCGTGGTGGAAGCAATGATTGAACATAGCGTAAACAGAGGGCAGTGTGGATTAGGATGAGCAGCAGTTGGCCCTCAGAGGGCGCGAAAAGCCACATTTAATCACGCCTAATGCTACGCGTCGTGTCCACGAGTGTGCACGCACGCACCCACGCACAAGAAGATTGAACCTTGAAGATTCCTTTGCTCTCGGAAAACCCCGAGAATATTCGGAGGAGAGAGAGAGAAACAATAGACTTGAAATAAATATGACTAAGAATTAATTAGATAAACAGAAAAATAAAATATAAATATAGAGAGAGGGTAGGGAACAGAAAAGGAAAGAAATTGGTAAAGAGGCTCAGCCCTCTGGAGGGGGGGAGCAATCGGTCTTTGATCTTATCCGATAAAAATTAGAACATTTTTTAAAAAAAATTAAAAATTAAAGATAAAAGTAGGTGTGGGAGGTGGTGACGTCAGCGCCAGCCCATGGATAGGCAGAGAAAAGCGAATCACAATTCATACCATCGAATATTCAACCCCGACTTGTAAAAAAAACTAATTTGGAAATAAAAACCCAATCACAGATTCGCTTTTGTACGCGACGCCACGACCCGACGTCTCTCTCTCTCTCTCTCTCTCTCTGTGTCTGTGAAAACAAAAAACACTCTTAAAAATTCCATCTTTTCTTTTCTAATTTAATATCTCTAGAAACTAGTTTTTGTTGGTTTCTTTCTTTTTAAATAATTTGGTTTTGGTCTGCAAGATTATTCCGTTTTCGGATTCTACTTGGATCCCATATGCGTCCTTGAGAAGCCCCATTCGTTACCCAATCCCCCTTGTTCGGTTCTATCTATGCTTTGGACCTCCACCTGCTCCTTCTTATAATCTCTCTCATACATAAATACATTCACACCCGCATTTCTCTAGCTCTGATCTTAACCCAAAAAGGAAGATAAAGACACAGGCTTTGAAAATTCCAGGAAGAAAAAAAGAAAAAAAAGTTAGCTATGGAGTCTACAGAGAAAATGCAGGCTTCAAGGTTGGGTTTCCGTGACTATGTCAAGGCCTTAGAGGAAGAGAGGCATAAGATTCAAGTTTTTCAGCGTGAGCTCCCTCTCTGCTTGGAGCTTGTCACTCAAGGTACGGACCCTTTTCAATTTACAGCTGAAGTCTTGTCTTTTAAGTCCTAAAGTTCATGTCTTGGTTTGAATTTATATGGATTTGTTTTCTTATTTTGTTTTTTTTAGCTATTGAGAGGTGTAAGCAACAGCTTTCGGATACAACCACAGACTACATGCATGGACAATCTGAGTGCTCGGAACAAACTTCAAGTGAGGGGCATGTGTTTGAGGAATTCATTCCCTTGAAAAGGATTTCCTCTTCTGATAGTGATGATGATGAGGTGCAAGAGTCTCAGGAGCCCAAGACCAATGACAAGGATAAGACTAATGGTGACAAGAAAAAATCAGACTGGCTTAGATCTGCTCAGCTCTGGAATACAACCCCAGATCCACCTCTTAAAGAGGTATAAAAAAAGATTCCACCTTTATCTATTGAAATGAATTGTGATTGCCCTTTTGTTTAGCAGCTCAATTTTTTGAGGTAAAAGAGCAGGAAAGTATTGATTTTTGGGGTGTTGGTCATTGCAGGAATTGCCTAGAAAGGCCTTAGTGATGGAGGTCAAAAGAAATGGGGGTGCTTTTCAGCCTTTCCAAAGGGAGAAAAGCGTTGGAAAGACTAATGGGCCAGTGGCTAAAGTGCCTGCTTCTGCTCCGGCTACTAGTTCAACCACAGACACCGTCAGTGGAGGCAGTGGTGAAAGCCGCAAGAAAGAAGAAAAAGATGGACAGGGTCAGAGGAAACAAAGGCGGAACTGGTCACCGGAGTTGCATCGCCGGTTCTTGCATGCTCTTCAACAGCTTGGTGGTTCACATGGTATGTTTTTGAGATTAATTTAGTTGGATGATCAATGATCATGGGATATGTTATTTATTATGATTAGATGCATATGGGATTGAATTCATTTGGATGTTTGCTTGACATGTGGGTGTGATTGGTTTTCCTTGCAGCTGCTACACCCAAGCAAATTAGAGAGTTAATGAAGGTTGATGGGCTCACAAACGATGAAGTCAAAAGCCATTTACAGGTTTGTATATGTGATTGATCATCTATCTGTTTTAATAATAATTTGCGTGATGTGAATAAAATTGTACATGGAGCTAAAGGCATGCCACTACTCATACATAACAGAGATTGGAAGCAATGTTTTTATGGAGATCTTTACAATTTTAACTTATAGAATAATCTTATTGGTACTGTTAGTTTGTATTTCTTAGGTTTCCTATCAATTCAAGTCATGCTATTAGTCTTGAATTTCTATTCATATTTAACTTTTGGGTGCCTCTCTATGTGCAAGTTACAATGTGATTAAATCAATATAATAAAACAACCCAGCAACAAAGAGTTGTGAATCTAACAAAAGCATACATTTCTTGAAGAATCAATCAGAAGTTGTGAATTTTTATTAAGCCGTCCTGCAATCAAGCAGAGCCTAATTTCTATCATCTTCCATTGTTTACAGAAATATCGTTTGCACACTCGAAGACCAACTCCAACAATGCACAACAACAACAACAGCAACAGCAACACACAAGCACCACAGTTTCTGGTTGTGGGAGGTATCTGGGTGCCACCCCAGGACTATGCAGCAGTAGCAGCAACCACAGCTTCAGGGGAGGCCGCCAGGGTTGCTGCAGCCAATGGAATATATGCACCTGTGGCTACATCTCCTTCTACCGTCACACCAGTGTCACCACCATCCCTAATGCAAAGACCGCGACCGAAGAGACCTGAGTCCTCTCATTCAGATGAGAGGGTCAGCCACAGCGAAGGCCGCGGTCATTGCAATTCTACTGCTACATCATCCTCCACTCACACCACTGCTTCCCCTGTGTTATAAACTTTTTTAACATGAGAATGATGTAAAAATTTTGTAACCATCGTTTTAGAAAGTCCTTTCTGATTACCACACCAATATTCTGACCTTTTCCCTGTTTTGTTTTGCCCTCCTGTCGTTTATGAGCTATAAGATGTAGAGGTGTGTGCTGGATACGAGGGACAGTGACAGTAAAGTTTTGAAGTTGAATAAATTACATACAGAATTTGGAAGCAGAACAAAAAATATTCTGAGGCTCGAGCACGCCAATAATAACATAATGTTTCTTGTTTGTTATATCTCAATGTACATAAGTATAGCCTGCACATTTTAGTAATCGTCGGCTTGTTAACTGTTGTATGCATTTGATTGAATGCTCTGATCTGTACTGGCTACGAGGTTGAAATTTGAATGGTAGCTGAGATTGCAAGAACCTAGACAATTTGCAATAAAATATCAAAGTCTAATATGAACATATTAATGGACAGAGAAGCTGCAAATCAAACTGTTTCGTGGTAATTACTAATTGCACCAAGGTTAAGACTTGTACTGTTAATAATTTTTATTTTTATTTTTTTGCCAAATGATAAAAATATAATTGATAAAAGCCGAAAGGCTCGATTACAATAACCATAAAGGCAACCAATCACTTGAACGCTAAAATTGAACTCTAAACTCCAAATTATGTAAATTGGGACTAATTTCCACATGTGAATTTGTCCAACCGGCCAGACAGCCACATAAGGTTTGGTGAAAAGGATGGTCTATTCGTAGCGATAACTTGATGAGGGAGTTTAGAGTTTCGTTGACAATGAGGGGAATATAGTCTTCTTTACTTAAAAGTCATGAAAAATATAAAAATGACAACAAAAGAATCCTGACCCACGAGAAATCTTCCTACCCAAGAAAATAAGCAAATGACAGATGTTGCAGATCTAATCAAATCTTTTCTGTTTGGCTATTGTTGCCTCAAATCATAGAAAATTGGGTTGCGTAGAGGCTAAACACAATATGATAATTCCTTGGCCTTTAGCACAAAAGGAGAAAAATATTGGCAAAATTCAGTAGTTTGTTGGATATGCATGCATCAAAAACATGCGCACATACACACATATCATATGTTTCCCAATAAAGCCACCCCCTCTGAACATCAACTGCTTTAGAAAGTGTGGTTTGAACAGTTTAATGTTAACTTCTATCTGAAGCTGATTAGGTTTTGGTTGGGTAAGCTAAGATGGGGATACCTTATCCATAAAAACCCACCCCACCCCCGCTCCTCCCCTCTTTAATGTTAACATCAATGTTTATTTCTTTTCCTTTTCATTCCCTCCAAGTTTGGATATATATATATATAGCTTCAACGATGAAATAAATACAAAACAACCAGAGATAATCCAAGAGAGAATATTATTTAGATGCTTGCATGGCGGTGATCCAGGCCATTTTTAAAACGTGGCGGCTCTGATAATGCATGGTAGATGGTACAGGTGAAAGTTATAACCAGGCTAGGCCCCATAATTTATTATCATTTTGTGTTTGTGTTGTGTCAACACAAGACACTTAGGACAAAGCTGTGTGTTAGTTGGAGCTAATTTTCTAGCTTATCGCATTGCGACTCCTCTCTTTTTTTTTTTATACAAGAAAACAAAGTGAAAATGTACCACTTCCATGGTCCACATACGAATATTCCAGTGTATTCGGGACAATTAGGCACTAGTTTTTAATATTTTAATTTTAATTATTCGGAAATGTGCATATATGTTATCATCTAAAATGTAATGTGCTAGTATATTCTCCATTTTCTTAACTTATCTTATGGGGAAGGAAGAACCAATTCTGATCCCCAAGAATCTTACCTTGTCCAAGATTCTATCATATAAATTAAATTAACTTAAACTAATATTAAGATTAATTAATTAATGAAGAGGGGAGAGCCTAATTGGTTCATGTGGGGGCCTCCCAGCTCACATACGGTTTCTGAGTTCTCATCAGACTTTTTCTTCTTCTTTTTTCTGGGTGGAGATGATATTTCTATTTTTGGATTCAAAGGTGTCCTTAAATAGAAAATGAATTGAATATGTATTTTAAGCAAAGAAGAGAAACAATTAATCCATTGAGTTGAGGACATTTTCAAAGTGTTCTAGAAGATGCCATGCTTGGATTAGGGCCAAGTCCAAGGGAAAGACAGATAGATAGAGAGAGAAAAGAAAGATTCAAGAGAAGTGTCCCTTGAGTGAACCTTAAGGCCAAGTGCCTCTTGCCGTCTATTAAATTAATTAAGAGGAATCGATACCAAAGTCATTTTTTGGTTCATTTGGTGACAAAATGTCTTCATAATTCTTCCGAGGGGGGAAGATGTTGAGCATTTTCTGGTCATCTTCTTCAAGTTGAACTGTTGAATTAGACAAATTAATCCTACGTACATTATCAATGCCAAGTTTTGTTTGTTCTTTTGAACTTGTCATGCTTGAGTAGATTAATTAATGCTGAATGAAACCCATCTTCCTTTCACATTAAAAATGAAAACAAAAAGAGTTTGTGCCCGTTTGGCATTGCTCCTTCATCCTTTTCCATTTAAATTAATTTTTAAGTTGTTTATCACATGCCAACACGTGGAGGTAAAAAATCATATCCTAAAATATTTTTCTCTTTTAAAATGTATTTTAAATATGATATAAATAGTGGTTTAATTAAATTAACTAATAAATTTACATCATATACTAACAACTATAAAAATATTAAATTTGACCTTTTGTTGCTAGAGACGGTTAAAATTTAGTCTGCCACTATATATTCCTTATAAATTCATGTTTTAAAGGGCTAAAAATGTAGCCCGAAACTAAATATAGCCATCCCCAACTCAACTGAAGATAGAAAACAACTTTGATCAATTAGCATTTGATATTGACTCGAGGTAAACTGCAGAATTATAATTATCTTCTCACCCCTCTATATAGTATGTACTAGTACTTCATTCCCGTTCCAATACATATCCTTACATTTCCCCCAAAAATAAATATAATTTGAAGTTGACCCAAGTAAATTGTTATTATATTCCAAAGTGAATCTCACAAATTAGGCGGGACAAGTGCCCACTGGGGCAATATCACCCACATAATTTTTAATTTATAAAATTTCCACACAATTAATTGGCTTCTTTTTTGGGTAGCTATGGCTCTGAAGTCTGAGAAGTCCACATTTATGTGCTGGCTAGCTGACGTGGTTGGCGTGGTTAACACCACGAAGCAACAACATTATTTGCTCTGTCCCATATACTTAATCGACCTAATTATACGAGACGCCTTTGGATTCTCGGTAGCTATTAACCTTAATTCAGCGAATCTTCCAGTTAGCTAGTCACGCTCTCAAATTAAATTTTAATTATGTAATTATATAGCACACTGAGAGTGATGTCCCTCATCTTGTTCAAGGCAAGGTGGGAAATTAATTCCAATGTTTTCTTTTTGTGGTATCAAAAGTTCTTTTAATTGTGTTAGAAACAGTTGTTAATACGCGTTTAAGTATCAATTATTGATGCAAGTGAATTTCATAATACATCAACAACTCACGATACATATAGCATTACTTACGATGGAAACAATAATCGTTGGCTTTCTTGAATTATGTAATTATATAGCACACTGAGAGTGATGTCCCTCATCTTGTTCAAGGCAAGGTGGAAAATTAATTCCAATGTTTTCTTTTTGTGGTATCAAAAGTTCTTTTAATTGTGTTAGAAACAGTTGTTAATACGCGTTTAAGTATCAACTATTGATACAAGTGAATTTCATAATACATCAACAACTCACGATACATATAGCATTACTTACGATGGAAACAATAATCGTTGGCTTTCTTGGGGGTTCCTAGTTCCTAGTTCCTAGTTCCCAGCTAGTTATGGTGGGCGGAGCTAGATAGCATCCTACTAAGTAATTATAGTACTTACCGAGATTAATGAAATGATTATGCATTCCCCTTGAGGACACAGACTCGACCAAATGCATTTATCAATAGTTTGATGATTAATTATAGTATTTATACGTACAAATCTCAACAAGCAACTAAGCCTAAAAGCTTAAACCATAATCGCCCCTTGGATCAATGGGTTCAGTGTTTAAGTCCTCGTCATTGTTGACGAACCAATGTTGCTTTTTTAATTCAAAATAAATAAATAACAAGATATATGTAGTCCATTTTCACGGAATCATTCATTCAGTCTCCTGAAGGACGACGCCAACTCCTCCAAATGCATTCGTGATGTCTTTTTGTTGCAAATACAATCATATTTGCTCGATTCCCATTATTCTTTTGTGATAAAAATGTAAACTGGTTTTATAATTTTATTGGCTCCAGAAATGGAATATTGTTGTGGTTGCAGTCTAATAACACTACCACTAATATCTCTCATGGATGGAACCGGCCAGGTTCATTGAGCTTGTCAAAGTTGTTTTAATTTATTATAATGATAAAATAAAAAAAAGAGAAAAACGAAGAAAAATACCTAATTTATTTGGCAAATAAACAAGAGGAAACTTGGAGCAAAAAAAAACGAGGAAACTACAAAGGCAGACAAACAGATTACTACAATGCGCTCATAGATTAGGTAGATGACCACATACTTCCTAGAAAAAGACAAAAGTGTGAACATTTATAGGAAATTCACTCCAAACAAAACATTTATAGAACTGTAAAAATTCATGGAAACAGGATCTGAGTTATGGAACTTGACAAATTAAGAGCTTTCAAGTACTTTATTTAGTTACTTATTAATTGAGACTATAATTACCCGAGTCATGGCCTTATCTAATGCCTTTAGATGATGTTATATTTCTTACCCGTTTAATAAAACTAACCAATTTGATCCATTGACTAACTAATTCGATTAAAACAAGCCTCACCCATGGGCCTTATACACTATAGAATTTTACATACTTACCCGCATCACTTGGACTCATTCTATGAATTAGAAATGTTTTGGGCCTCTAACTGTACTTTCTTTTGCTTTAAAACATATGTAGCAAGACCTAGCCCATTGGCCCTTGCCTTTCAATGAACTTCCATTTGGCAAATTACAAATTTGATTTGATAAAGATGTACATATTTTCAAGGAGCTACAGTTTCTGTGTATCTGCAAAAACAAATTATGGGAGGTTGGAAAGTGGCGGGATCTCTAGAGGTACACCAGGAGTAGGCTGCAGTACCTGCGCATCTGGTAATTCCTTGGACAAAAGTTCCTGCGTTACATAACCATGTCATCTTAAGAGTTTATTTTCTTCAAAAGCATAATGACTCAAATATATTTCTCAACAAGGAGTTGAAGAAAACAACCTTGAATGATTCTATTGTTCCTTCAGCCTGAACTAAACTAGCAAGAAGCCCTTTGCTATCCAAGTCTCCGTTTGTCATCGGGACAATGAACCTACAAAATGTACAACAAAGACATTGAAATACTTACAATAAAACCATCTTTTTTTATATGTCAGTGTTAAGGTAAAAAGAATTTGTACTTGGCATGCAGCAGCTTTGCAAGTTCAACTGCATCTTCTTGTCCAGACACCAAAGTAAATTTAGGCAGAAGCTGCTTTATGACCGGCGTGATGACAATGTCAGCCCTTTCCTTCTCCACTGAACTCTTGTTGTATACACAATGGGGTTCATAGTAAAGAGTAAATTTCCCTTGTGGAGAACTGACAAGATATCTGGTCCACATAGCATATACATATAGTTAATATTCGTTCAACTAAAGAGTAAATATTAGATAACAGACTACATCAAAATTAAATCTACAGATAGGTAACATTCCTTGGAAATATTCACTCGACTAAAAGTTGAAGAACATATTATACCACAAAGGAACTGTAACATTCCTTGTAAATGGAATTCACTAGTGTCATACTGGCAATAGACGAATGAAACCTTACCCATTTTCAGGGCGCTGCCAAGGAGGACCAAGAACAGGCCCTGCAGTGGCCTGTACTTTGACTGTAGAACCACTTCTTGCTTCAATTATGGAGCTCTGACCAGGTTCCATATATGTGACCTGAAAAATGAAAAAATTAGAGTGTGAGTATAAAACAGAGAAGATGCATCTGAATTTATGCTTCTGAGCACATAATTATTTAATTATCTTGAATGCAAGTATTGCAACTTTCAGAAACCAATTGAGACAATGGTTTAGGTTCAGTTGTTATAAGAGATGTGATTTTGGCATGGAAGTTGTCTATGGTCATGTCCGCCATCTTAGCAGTAAAAGTAATTACCCAAAAATTAACAGGGAACAGCTGAATAAGAACAGAGGCCCCAGCCTGATTGACATCTCTTACCCAAAAACGACACTAGTTCTTGAGAAAAAAGGCATTGCTTATTGTCAAGTTATGATTTTGGATTTCATTTGATCATACCATATAAGTGTGGTGTCATTATCAGCTTGTTATAGTATAGACCACCAAGCCAATTTTTCTCAGGTCTTAATTTCTTTGATGGTGACTACAAAGAATGAATAGCATATATTAAAATAAAAAACAAAACAGAAGCACTCAGGAGCTGCAGCCTGGAAAAGAAAACACTAGTTTAAGATTGAATATGCTTACATTGCTGAAAAGGGGATCCAACAATGTCTGAGCATTGGGTGTAGCTATTACTCTAAGATTCAGGTACTTTTCAGAAAGCGGCTTTAAAGTCTTCAAATGGCAGTGATCATCGAGGCTTTGTGTGATTAGTAAACAATCAACTTCTGGAAGATCACTTAGCTGCACTAAAGTTGTACACCCAATCAAAACAAGCTTATCAATTCCAGAACAATTGTACTACAAAATAATGGCAACATATGCATAACAACAAGGCAAATTAGATATAAAAAGGAAATTGAATTAAGAACTAAAAGACTACCTGGAAATTCTTCAAAAACTTCTTGGCAGCATCATAAAGCCAGGGGATCCCAAAATCCAAATTACCCACCAAGATTGGATCGACCAATATTTTCAACCCACCCACATCCCACAACCAACTATTCCCCTAAAGCAAAACTTTGTATACATATGTCAGGAAATGCCCAAAACTAATCAAATCTAAGAAAGACCAATAAGAAAATGAAAACCCACCTCCAAGTAAGTGAGTTTGAACCCATCAGTGCCGGCGAAACTCGACTGAATTGCGCTTTCCTCAGAAACCACAGCAGAAACAACCCTACCAATCCTGCAAATATGTACAGCTGAAGACAGCTCTAAGATTTACAAAACCCTGCATATATGAGAGAGAGAGAGAGAGAGAGAGACCTGGCAGTTGAAAGCCTCAATTGTTTGGAATTTGCGCGAATGGGAGTGGGGCTAAGAGTCGAAAGAATGGGAGAGGGCGCGAAAGGGAATAAAGGTATTCTCGGCGTGCATGGTCTGCACGACCAGAGAAGTGAGCTGCACTGACCAACAGCCATGGCCTTCCCGCGAATTTGGAGAGCGATTGAAGTGCATAGTTTATTACTTTATTATTAGTTAAATCATTTTCATTCCTTAAAAATCAATTGGATTTCATGCTGCCACTTGCCACGGGCTCACCCACAAGAACATTTTAATTTTTTATTTATTTAAAGAATGATTAATAAATGGTAAATCTTTGATTTTTTTTTGTGTGTAATGGTTTTAATTTTTTAATCCTTTGATTAAAGAAAAGTTAGAAGAATGAAACTGAAATTCCTTTCTTTTGTAGGAGATAACGCAGCAATGCACCAGCAAGTTGCAACTCAATGTACACAATTTTGTTGAGCACATATAGCTAAAGAAAGAAACCAGCAAAAACTTGGATTTTCACTAATCTAGGAATCTTTAATCTGTTTGGCTTCACCTGAAACAGAAATGCTTTACAATAAGTGGTTCTCTTCTCTCTGCTGTACATTCAAATCTTGAAGGCAAGTTGTCTTTCCCATCTTTTGGGTTGATAAGGTATGATACTTGCAATTTTGTTACCTTCAGGTTTTGGCAACTCATCCTCAGAGGGGACTTTCTCATGCCAAACAAACTCGTTTTCATGTTCATGCTTCCTGAGTAATTCCGCAAACTTATCAATTTCCTCTTTGAGAACACATTTCCATGACTCTTGGCCTGGCATTTTCTTCTTCTTCACATCAACCAGTGCAACTCTAAGAACTCCGATGGCAGCCCCGAATTGGTTGGCAATCTTCAGGCTTTCGGCAAAATATTTCAAACTTTTTAACTCATGTAGCGCTTTGCAACATGATATGAATTCCTGTACAAACCGGAAAGAGCAACCAAAATGGGAAAGAAAACTTTCTGATCACTCAGCCCCAAACTGTTCATTCAAGGTGAGGAAGGAATATAAAACTGTGCAAATGAAAGCACACATACCACAATGCGTGAAGAAATATCATTACATTCCCTGCTTGCTGTATTTAAAACACCTGCAGCTTCATCAAGCAACTCTGCAACACCATGATGCAACTTTGCCAAAAGACCCACGGTAGTGCCCTTCTCTTCAGCCCTCTTTATTGTTACCGCCTATTACATTTTCGTAACAACATCAATTATCACAAAGAAGAAGCCTACCGTAAAACTTTTATCATCTCTTTAAAACTGGCCTAGTAAAGGAAAGTAAGTGGATTTATTCATATATCAGTATGGACAGAGCAAACATCCGCAATTCTGTAATGGCAACTCACCTGGGCCTCGGCCAAACAAATGAGGCTCATGACAGTGGACACAGATGAGACAACTTCTGGTGGCCTTTCCGCAGTGAGTGAATATTGTAGAATAGGAAGAACCTTATGAGCAAGATGATGAAAAACACCAGCAGCTTCTCTGAAAAGGGTGGCCGATTGCACTAGGTCTACGACAGCGCAAAGAAACTGATCAGGTAATTACATCCATGGTCACAAAAGAAATAATAATTACAATAATAAAAGATCTCAAAAGTGCAATATGAAGGTAAGCTAGCATCTTCTACCTGCAGGAAGAACTTCTAATGCCCTCTCCCGAAGGATTGCACCATAAAGGAAAAGGGTCATACCAATCTCAAACTGCAAGCTATTGATTTGAAAATATTTTGGACCTTTAAAGTTAAAGAAAGAAGATGAACTAAGAGCACTAGTCCATTGCATCTTAAGTTCTGAATTCCATCGAACTATCTGGCTGAAGTTGCTGATCATGCCAACATGGAAAATCAAATTCTCCAGCAATGGAAGATACATGTCTAGGTTGTGAAGAACCTGAGACATTGAAAAGAATACTAGAATAAGCAAAACATCAAATGCTATCAGAGACTGGATTACATAGTCGTACTAGATGCAAACGGAAAGAATCAATTTGTACCAAAATAAATACGCAAGTTCTCCATGTAACATTATCTCACAACCTAAAACACATGAAGATTGAAGGACGGCATTAAACTAACATAAGATTATTAAAAACAAAGACATGAGTTCAGCAAATGTTTCATCCAAACAGATATTAAAGTACCTACAAACAAACAGAGTTCGCCATTAGAACAGGGTAGTGCCAGCATTACTGAACAATAAAGCTTTTTATGTATATTCAAAGGGTGACATTAATATGCATGAAAATGAAAGATGTAAAATAAATCTCATATTCCTGGCAAGAAATAATAAGTGAGTCTTCCAAATACCAAATGCCATACTGACAAATTACCTGTTCAGAACGAGAAGTTAACCCTCCAGACATTTCTCTCGCAATGGCCGTAGTAATGGAGCTGCTCTCATTAATAGACTCCTCAATCATTCTACGCTTAGAGCTCAATTCTTTCAGTTGCTCAAGTGTTGTGGAATCACGAGCAGCATAAGCCTCTTCAAACACAATCTGTCCCCATTGACAACAAATCACTTGGGAAATTATTAACCACACAAAGAACAAGTAACACTGCCGAATAATTTATTGGACGCATATCCACTTATATGTATTCAGCCCCAAAACCTTCCAAAACTCTTTCCTCCAAAATAGTATACCAAAATTTCATTTAATGAGGTTGACAATGTCACATTATTAAATTTATATTTTTTGTTGTCCTCCTATTGCGGGTCCTAAACATGATTTTCTACCCAACAAAATTCAAGAAAACCCAACTGGGTCCATGCACGTTCACCATTACCGCAATCTCAATGCTGATTACAAGCAAGCAACATGGCATGACAAAATTGGAAATTTGATAAACTGGGTGTATAATAAAGCTCAGATAAAAAATCCGAAAAAAACAAAATTCAAGACCAAAGAAGCTTAATAGCACCATAGACTCTCCAAAAATAACTCAAACACATTTACCACCAAAATATAAACACAAGAATATGAGGGGCACCGGGAAATACCTTCTTAGTCTTCAACTTTGCTGGGTCTCGAAAATGAAGCATCATCGTTGCCAATTAAACAAAGCCCAGACAATACCTGGGTTTTACGAGAAGTTTCTAAAACCTTTACCTTTACAGAGTTCAGATTCCTAGTAGAGATCAGCTTTCAGGTTAAGAAGCAAAGAGACGAGTAAGAAGAGTGTGGTTCGTCCACGGCTTATTTAGCGCGTACCATTTTCCAATGGGTTTTGTTGTTTTGGGTCGTTTTCAGGATCATTGCCTACCGGATTCGTTCGTTTGCTTCTCGGCCAAGATTTCTATTTTTTAATAAGAGGTCAAGCTGTAATGGGCCCCTGATTCTACATTCTTTCAAGCGGACGTGGGCTTCTCCGGGCCGACTCTCACAATTTTTTTTTTCAATGTCAACTAAAATTTATTTAAAAAGGATAGAAGAAAACAAAAGTTGGATTAACTACAGTAAACCCCCAACTTATAGGGGTCATTACAAACTCATACCCAGCCATTGTTGACCCATTTGACCACTACATGAACTTTGTGAATCCTTTCATAAAACACCCTCTGTCACTCAGTCCGTCAGGAACCTGGTTAAGTGATGAGGTGGTGCTGTCGTCGTAGGTATTTTTGATAACATGGAGCAATTTAAAATCGTCGACAAAAGACTTGAGCCATTCATACAAAAGAAAAGGCCTATGAGCCCCAAAATCGTCAAATCTCTAATTTCATCTCCTCCATTTTTTTCCAATTGATATAAAGATGAAGGCGCCGAAATGTTGTTGTGGTAAGTGAGCTCAGGAGTTCACTTCCTTGACTTATGCGAACCCTGGGAGACGTTTATTTGGATGTGCGAAGCACGGGGTAAGAGATCTAAGTTTTGTGTTTTTGAATTTGTTGTTGTTGTGGATCTGGGTTAGAAAGTGATTGGCTTGATGTAATGTACAGAGAGGACAAGGGTGCAACTTCTTTCAGTGGATTGATCCCCGAATATGTGAAAGGTTTAGGACTGTTATTCCTGGATTGCTGAGAAAGGTAAAAAAGCACGAGGCGTTGCAAAGAAAAGTGGCGACAATAGGGAGGGTTATGCGGGTAGTACTGCTTGGTTCATGGGTCACAATTTTGGTGTTTTTGTTGGTGTTGTTTGGTGAGGACTTGAGAAAACATGTACCTAACAAAAATGTGAGGCTAGAACTATAATTTTAGGCTTTGTCTTAGTTATTGTTTTGCAAAGGGTGTTTGTATGATAACATTGTAATGAAATGTAAGTTATGTCCTGTCTATAATGAAGTTGTAAATCTTTATATTTTGAAATGAGAAAAGTAGAGTTGAAAATGTAGGTGTGAAATGAAGTTGAAAATGCAAAAACCTTACATTTTGAAATGAAGTTGTAAACCTTTACATTTAGTAAATTGTTCTGAAAAAAGCAGGTGTGAAAATGCAAGTGTCAAAATATATAAGTTCCAATATGAAAATGCATAACTTCCCATCTATAAATACAACCAAACTGAAGTGTTAAAATACATAAGTTGGCATCCCAAAAGGATAACCACTATCATATCAAAATATAACAAATCAGAGTTGAACATAATTCATCCCATATCAAAATGTACCAAATCAGAGTGGAACATAACTCTGCCCATCTCAAAATATACCAATTCATAGTAGAACATAACTCTTCCCATATCAAAATATATCAATTCAAGCACAATTCAACATAAGCAAAAAAAAAAGAAGTAAAGGTGTGGCTTCGTTTCACTTATCCTTGCACAATTGTTTCATGTTTCTTTTCCTAGATATGGGTTGATTTGGAGCTTCTTGTCCTCATTGCAATTGGTTCAATTGAGGGTTTTGATTCCTGTATACATCAAACAATTGTATAAGCATAGTTACCATACTTACCATACAATTGTATACATCAAACAACATACTAGGGTTTAGAGACTTACATTTGGAGGTTCTCCAATTTTTTCTTACCCTTTGCAGCTTTTCTCTTTGTATTCCCCTTGGAGCCATATGCTTTTCCAGTTTTCTTATTTTGCTTTGAAGGTAGATGTCTGTGATGAGTCCTGCTGTTGTGACATTCTTCTCCACAGTAGCTGCACGTCATAGCAAGGCCCTGTTTTCCAAGCCATTTCTTACCCCCTTTGTCAATTTTCTCCTTAGCC